TCGGCCCGGGCCTGACGCCACGGCGGCCCTCCACCTCCCGGGCCGAGCATCTCGGGAAGTGAAGTCCTCTCGCCGCCAGAGAAGCCGGGATGCGGCGCGGGGAACCGCCTGTAAACTACAACTCCCGGGAGGGTCTGCGCCCAGGCCCGCCGACGTGTTTGCCGAGTGCTCCCGGACAAACCAAATGGACACGAATCCAGAGGGAAGGAACCATTAGCCGCGCGGCAGATCGTCCTCCCCTCGGCGTTCCAAGCGCAGCACGAAGTTTTTAAATCCTTAGTCTCTTCATCTGTTGATATATAGACTCTCCGAGGGACCCAACGCCTTTCAGTTGCCCCCGCTCTGAAATATATCCCTGAGCCCCTGTGGTTCTCCCCACTTCCCAGGGCTTGTCTCCTGCCCCGACAGCAGAGGGCCCACCTTTACCTGCCACCCAGAAAGAGCCGGGGCCGGGGCGGGACCCAAGCTCACCTGGAGCCGTGCTCGCAGAGGATGCAAAGAGCCTGCTTTTAGCCTTTGCCAGAACTCAAGGCATCTCTCCGGCCCCACGCCCAGAAGGATTACTTTGAAAGCATCATTTTACAACTTCCACTGAGGTTGACTTCTCCCCATTTTACACACGAGGAAACTAAGGCACAAAGTAGGGTGGGCCGCATATAATGTGCTGAAGACAAGTTTGCAAGAATCAGGGTCAGGATTAAAACCTCAGTTTGCAAGATGTTTCCTGAATTTTGACCCACAAGCAACTCTATGAGCCGACCCAGTGAGGAGAAGGGGAGAGTAATCGACTTTTAACTACTATTCAGTTCAGAAACTGGGATTCTGAAAAGAATGATTTCCCTAGTCAGCAGCTGGGAGAGCATCAGCAGGCTAAGAGTCTCAGATGGTAAATTCACCACAGTCCACATAAAATGCATGGGGCCAGAGTCCAGGATCTAACCTTCCTATTGTCAAGGGATCTTGGGAAACCAAATGAATTAGGGAGCTGAGAGACTTGTGTGAGTATGGGGAAAGTCCAGGTCCTGGAGAAGTCTGATTACATCTCCCTGCCCCTCAACCAACATCCACATTTACGGAGCACGCATTGTGTGCCAGTCATCATGCCGATGGCTTTGCACATACTCTCTCATTTAATTCTCTGATGTAGGTTGTACTTTAGTTACTAATTTACAGAAAAGTGAGGCTCAGAGAAGTGAAATGCCCAACTCAGGTTGCATAGTAGATAAGTGGAAAGTCTGAAATCACTGCTCTAATCTCAGCACTTCCTTGCCTCCCCAGAGACCCGCTTTTGCCTCCAGATGAATGAGCTTGAAGACACCCCCACCCAGTATCTCTCTTTCCTTATTTTATGTTTCTCTCCACTGACTCGCATGACATGTACATATACCTACGTACATAACAATGCATTCAATTCACTGCCCTCCCTGTTTGTGGAGAGGGAAGAATCCCGAGGGGCTGGTTGTTCCCATTGAAAAATAACACTGAGAACACATTCTCCCCACCGAGCCGGGCCCAGGCAGTCATTTTCAGCTGGACTTTTTTTTTATTTTTATTTTTTGAGTCGGAGTCTCACTTTGTCACCCAGACTGGAATGCAGTGGCATGATCATAGCTCACCACAGCATCCACCTCCTGGGCTCAGGCAATCCTTTTGTCTCAGCCTCTCCAGTGGCTGGGACTACAGGTGCATACCACCATAGCTGGCTAATTGTTTTTTTTATTATTATTTATTTTTTATTTTTATTTTTTTTGTAGAGACAAGGTCTTGCTATGTTGTGTATGGTGGCCTTGAACTCCTGGGCTCAAGCAATCCTCCCACCTCAGCCTCCCAAAGTGCTGGGATTACAGGCAAGAGCTACTGTACCCAGCCCAGCTGGACATTTAATTCTTATTCCCATAGAGCTGTGGCCTCGCGGTGTTCTCAAAGACCTCCCAGCAATATTTTTCTAGGCTTATCCACACCCAGGTAGATGACAAGTCCTTCCTGATGTGGTCCAAGTGCCACTATCAACATCTGGGGTGATTCATTTATTTATTTGACAAGTATTTATCATGCAACTACATGTGACAGGTGAAGAGCCAGGTAACAGGCATTGAATGATGAAACAAGCTACGCCTGTAGCCTGCAGGCTAGTAAGGAAACACACAAAAAAGGGTAACAAATATATAATTCAAAAATATGATGGGTGTTCTGCAGGGATGGATTGAGGTGTAATAAAATAACAGGAGGGAAATAATATTGATAGGGAAGTCAGGAAAGGCTTCTTTGAGGTGACAGTTAAGCCAGTACTTGAAATACAACTAATAGGCAGCCAGGCAAAGTGTGAGGGGGTTGGCTGCTCCAGGTTCTAGGAAGGGAGAACAGCATGGGCAAAAGCCGAGGCGGGGAAGAACTGAGCATGGTCCAGGACTAGAATCAAGTGAGGTGGAGACGGCAGAATTCCAGGTCAGAAGCAAGGTAGGCCAGATCTCAAGCCCCTCAGTCAGCCAGCATTGAGTTCTCTAAAACATAAAGACAGACCCTGGGGACTGCTCATCGCTTCCTGGTCCCTCGAGTCTAGATTTCTTCTCCAGCCTTCCGAGAGGGCAGGATCCTGGCCTGTTGTGCTCCCAGAGCCAAGCTTGCCCATAGGACAAGCTCCCAGCTCTAACCCGAATCCCGTGAACCCTCTCCCCAACCCTTTGAGCTTCTCTCCCCAAACCGTTGAGCTATCTCAGTGCTCCAGCCTCCCCACCACAACCCTACCCCCCAACCCCAGGATGTTTCAGGCCCTGTTCACTACTCCCCCCATTGTCCCCCTCCTGCCACCCAATGGGAGAGCCCCTGGCAGAATCGAAGGACCCAGTTAGGCGCCCCACCCTGGGGCAGCTGCCTTCATTCAATCCAATTCCGACTTCCCTGTAACCAGACACACCCAGAATATCGCCTAATTCGACTGGGCCTCTCCGCCACCATCTGGTCTTCACATTGCCGCAGCTACAGTGATCCTAATGCAAACACGGGATCAGATCTATGAAAACACTTCAGTGGCATTTAACCAACCACCCAGGGCCGGTGTCTGCTTCCTTAGGGCACGTACCATGCTTCCAAAGCTGCATTTGTTCTTGAGATTTCTGACATTTGCTCCCCCCAGCCGTGGGCACAGCTACCCAAACCTGATTTGTCGCCTCCAGCCAGGTCAGACCCAGGCACAGAGAAAGATCCCAACAGGGTCTCAACGAATGAAACTGGGGCCAGGGAGCGCGAGGAGCAAGGCGAAGGCTCCTCAAAGCTGGGGCTACCCCGCCTCGCCATCCCCGGCCGCTAGAAGTCTGCAGGGGCCCCACACGCGGCACGCGACGTCAACCGGAAGCAACATGTGCGGAGCTGTAAACACAACCCGCCTCGCCCCATCCCCCCAGCCCCGCCCCCGCCCGCCACGTGACGCACCCCCGCCCTCCCCGACCCAGTGCCCGCCCCGCTGCCGCCTCATTGGGCGACCAGTTTTGTTTACCTTATATGGCCAGGTCCTAACACCTCACGGCTGCCTATTGGCCAAGGCGCGGCCTCACTCAGTGACGTCACCCAGGACAAAACGAGGCAAATAAATCGGGGCATTCTGGGAACCGGAGTTCGGGGCTGCTCCGGAACTGGCTCCGCGGGGTCCTGGCACCCGCAGGTCGAAAGCCGAGATTTCCGGCAAAGAGCACGAGATTTTGCGTGGGAAAGTTCTGCTAGGAAGGCGACCTCTAGGCACTAGAGACTGGCGGCCTGGCCAGCCTGCCCCAGGTGCCTCCCCGTTCCCAGGCAGTCCTCGAGCCTACTGTGGGACAGTTTCCGCGCCACGAGTGGGCGATGCGAGATTGAGCGGGGGAGACCCGGAAGGCTCTTTGAAGGCGGTGACTTCGAGCAGAGTTTCGAAGGGTGGATTCACTCATTCTTTCATTCCCTAAACGAGTATTTGCGGGCCCCTACTGTATGCCAGGCCTTGGGGGCCTTGCAGCCTAATGCCGCCAATTTGGGCCCAGATTCCTAGGTCTCCTCTCCAAGGATGCGCCTGCTAACACGTGCGATGCCACCCCAGAGGGTTTCGGGGTCCCAGGGTCTTGGCAAAGATTCCTGCGGCGCTTACACAGGTCTGGGGGCCCCCTCCTAGGCGGGCCCG